TGTCACCTGAATTCAAGGGTTATTTACCATGTGTCACAAGAGTGTCAGGGCAGTGTAAGAACAGACTCTTTATTCTTTGGGAGTCAAGATCCCTTTTTGAAAGGGCTCCTGGATTTGTCAGCAGATGACTGCTGAAGGATGCAGGACCCTGGGCTAGTGTGATTCTTGGCCTCATAATCTGGTGACTGATCCCAGAGCCTGGGGAAGCTGGGCTCTGGTGGGCTATGGTGCCTGAAGAGAAAGGAGGCTGCTGCAAACACTCAAGTGCTGCTCTGTTCTCCAGGGGATCAGGACCAAGAGAGTCTGCAAATTGAGGAGTACCAGCGCCAACCAGGAGCACCCTCAGCATTTGATTTAGTGGGTCCTTACTAGACCCACTAAATCAAATGCCAGAAGATCTGTCTCCAGCACAGAGAGGCTTCGGGCAAATGATTTCCTCATCTATCTTTGTTCCCCCCTTTGTGAAATAATGATACTAATGGTGGACCTGCCTCAGAGGGGCTCTGAGAATGCCTCAGGGTAATTACAAAGGGCTTTGAAGATGTGAAATTCTGGCTCTGTGCTGGAAGGTACATGCTGCTGGTCCTATTGCCAGCAGCAAAGCATGTGCCAGTGTGAAGGCTTCTCTGAGCAGCAAATGCCCTGCAAGGAGCCACGCAGCAGCAGAGTTCATGCTTCCTTCTCGTCGCTCCCCAAGCAGGGAGACTAACCTGAATGAATGATACTGGAGGCTTCTTCATTTACCCCCAGCATCATGCTGATGGACAGTGCGGCCACTCTTACTCTTGCAGCTGTTTCTGGAATGACTTTGCCATACACCGATGCCGTCAGTTCCTGCTGTACTAGGTCTCGGCTGTGACCGTGTGTGTGATTTGTGATGGCAAGAGGTAAAGAAACAAACGCTGTTGAAAGCAGCTGGAAGGAGCAGGTTGGCCAGTTTGTGTTCCAAGTCTTTTCCTTGGGCTCAGACGAGTCATTTACTCAGGTAATTAATTTATTATTTGAGGTCTGAAAAAGTCTGGCTAACTCCCCCATCTCCTTCGTGTCCAGCCTCACCCAGTGTTGGAATGCCCCTTCAAGTCCTCTTGTGGCTGAATGAACTGCTGCTGATACGCACCCCGGAGGGGAGAATGATTTATAGTATGTGAGTGTCAAGACTTCTGGGGCTTATTTAGTCAGACTAGTCCTGTTGTGCTTTGCTAATCACTGGTCCCAGTAAGGTCCAGAGATTCCAGAGCCATTTTGGCATCCAGTGTTCTGGTGGCCCGAGGTGAGGGGAAGCCCCGAATGGCAACACTAGCAGGAAGTAGCTCGTGTTCTCTGAACAGAGTCATGCCGAACTGGACACCAGGCAGAGGAGGGGAAAAGGCCAGCCCGGATTCTGTAAAGGGAGGACGGTAAAAATAGCTCTGACTGTTTTGCCAGTGAGCCCTTTCCAGTGTGTTTGTGCAACGTCACTTTCTATAAGTTAAACCTGTTGTTATGGGGTGAACTTTGCTCTGCAGCTCTTGGAAACACAATGCTAAGCAGGGTCTCCTTGGCCAAAGAGAGCAGGCGTCTTCCAGTATGTGACCTGCAAGCCTCACTGGATTGAATCCCAGATTGTTGGTGGGCTAGGGAATTTGGGGAGGTGTCTGTGGAGTGAGGTAGGGTGATACATCTAGGGCTCTGAAAGGCATGTCAATATGCCTTGCTGCTGATCTGTAGTTTTCTCGTGCTTGGAGGAAGAGCAGAGCAGGGTGCTGTTGGCACGAATCACAACAGACCCATTGTAGTGTGGTTTGCTAGTAGACCCCTGGGAAAATACCTATTTTCTCTTCAAAAGTTTTCATTTACAGAAACCGCAATATGTGTGTAATGGCAGACGTCATCCAGGAGGTGCGTTCCCATCTCTGTCAACTCATGTGCGGGGCTGTGGACAGAGCACCCCAATTATCGCCTCCTGTAAGGGGTTTCTTTTGCCAGCCTTTTCTCTCTGTGTAATTAAAAGCTTCAGGGGGTAGCCGAGTTAGTCTGTAACAGGAAAAACTTGAAAAACAACAAATAGCCTAGTAACACCTTAAAGACTAACAAAACCTGGAGATGGGATCATGAGTTTTCATGGGAACAGTGGGTTGCGCCCACGAATGCTCATGATATCATCTCCATGGTTTTTTAGTCTTTAAGGTGCTACTAGAATATTTGTTGTTTTCCAAGATTTCCTTTATGGAATTGTGAGTTGTGCAGCAAGTACTTGTTTTTCTGCTGACCTCCATTTCACGCAGATTCTAACTGTAATCTCGCTGAGGACATTTACCTTCTCTCAAGAGCCCCTGACTGTTGTGGCTAACAGATTAATTCTGTTATTAAAAAAAATTCCCGTCCCTCTGTATTAAGCACTGACTGTGTGCAGTGTGAAGGCAATCCCTGCTCCAGAGAGCTTGCACTGCACAAGATGGACAGAGAGGTGACAGGGCAAACCCCGAGGAAGGGCTGACTTTGTATTCTGACTGGGTTATTCATTCGTCACCTCTGGGAAGGACTTGGAGGGAGGGTAAGGAAGTGGCTTGTCACACCAGACAGGGGAGCAAGTCCGGTCTTCCTCAGGAAAGTGACTTTACTGCTTTCCTGAAGCAGGAGCCCACGGCCCAAGGGGCAGTGGAAGGTGGCACAGAGATGGGAGCTGGACGGTGCATTCGGGCTGGCATGCCTAGCAGGCAGGTGGGGGGGGGGGGGAATTATTACAAAGAGAGAAATCAGAAAAAGGAGTAGCTAGGAGGCCACAGAAATCATCGCTTTATGATAGGGTTGGCTTTGTGTGTGATGAATAGGAGCAGATCCAGGAGATACCTGGGTCTGTGGAAGGTCTCCCATCTCGTCAGTGGGTGCTGGAACTGGCCCTGGGGAGGCTAGTCCCGCTGGGTTCATTGCTGCTCTTTCCAGCTTATTGTAAAGGGTTATTCTCTTCCTTACGGTCTATCGTGGCCCCACATCCCTTGCCAAGCAGTGCTCCCTCTCCAGCACCTGTGACCCCACTGCTTGTTTCCCTCCCACATCCTGCCCTTGTCTGATTCCCTCCCTCCTGTCTGCACGAACATGCAGATCCTCCAGAGAGACTTGCAAGACCTGCTGTCACTCACTCCTCCTCCATCACTCTCCCCGCTCTGGCTCCTTTCTCTCAGGGCAGACCCTGAATTTCCTTCCCTTCTCATCTCCCCGCCTGCCCCTCCCATTTGGGACATTAAAATGCGATAAGTAACCACAGAACTGCTGGACATTTCAGCATTTCTCTGGTTACACACGGGGCGGCAGCCAGCTCCCCGCACATGCCTGCGTGTCACCATGACGGTTAACCAGTGAGGCCAGGCATTGGTTAACCATGCGCATGGCTACACTTGCACATCCCTACCCCGTCTCCTGTCCCTCCCACCTGCTGCTCCCATCTCCCGTCTTGCTTCTGTCTCTTCCCAGATGTCTCCCCTTCACCGTGGCAACAGGGCTGAAAATAAAGATGCTCTGCTGAGAACAAAATGGTTCGCCACTTGGCAGAGCCCTGGAAATGCCTCATTAGAGCTTAGTCTGTGATGGCTGCGGTGAGGCTGGCTTCATGCAACTCTCTAGCCTAACGCTGGGTGCCCCCCGCAGACCCGGTCCCTTCCAGCCAGCCACAGCCTCCTTTACCTCTCTGTGGTTTTCTCTTTTCTTTTCTTCCTTCGGGCTGTCAGCAGATTTATTTCCTGGTCTGAGCAGGCGGGTCTGTCAAGAGAACGTCTCACCTTTCCCTGCTGAAAGCATCTCAAGAATGAGGCCCGATGGCCCCAGCTGCATTCCACATGCTCAGACTTTGTTTGCACAAGTCCAGTGTGAAAAAGCAAGGTGCAGAGAATCCTTGGGATGAAATCGGACCCTACCCATGCAGTTGAGGTGCAGCCTTGCGGCTGGGCAGGGATCTCTGCTGTATGTGCAGAAGGAACATCCAACTTCTTTACAAAATGGGTGTGTGTGTTTAGTCCCTGTGGCTGTGTCTACACCAGAAAGGGGTTGCCCGGTTAGCTGCAGCATTTATTGGCAACACGGTTCCTTTGCTGGGGCAGCTTATTCCCATTCCCCAAACAAAATAAGCTCTCCGGGCAAAAGGGTTTTTCAGAACACAGGGCCGTTTTCTGGCTTTGCTATAGGTTGGACTTCCCTCGCTCAGCACCCTCGGGATCTGGCCAGTCCCGAACGAGGGGATTTGCCGGACCGGGGGGGGGCCCTCCCAACATACCCTGTTCTGTACTGCTGCCCCTGGCTAGGGCTCCAACTAACACCGCTGCTGCCTGCCTGGCTGTGGCTGCTGCCAGGGCCAAGCTTTGCCGCTGCCACTCCTTCCCTCAGCTTAACAGCTCTGGGGCCACGGCCCGAGTTCCACTGCCGGGCCCCCCCTACTGCCTGGCTGCAGGGGCCAGTGCTTCCTGCTGTACTGTCCGCCCCTCTGTGCCCTGCTTCCCAGCTGAGCCTCTGCACCCGCTCCCCCCGCCGCTCCTACCCTGTGGCCTGCCTCCCTGTCCCTGGGCTCTGTGATCTTGCTGGGCCAGAGTGGCCTGGTTTAGGAGGTGCAGGCTGTATTTGTTCGGGGCTCATCTTACTGACAGACATCGCCATGGTGACAGAGCCCGGACCAGGCCAGTAGGGTATGGCCATTTGTACAGTGGTTTTGCTCTTTATGACCCGCATGTCTGCACCACTGAGGAGAGCAGGCCGTGCATGTAGCATCACCACCCTAAGGATGCCTTTCCACTGATGTTCTCTGTGGTACTGGTGCTAGACGCCAAAGGCCATTCCCTCAGGAAGGCGGTGGCTCATGCAGAGCAAGTGCACGGTGATCAGTAGCTTTTCTCTCCCTCTTCTGCTAAGCAGCAGGGAATCCGTGCAGGATGCCCCTTGCTGAGCACGGGGGTTTCTCTCTGGGGGCCCCATGCATGGAAATGTGTAGGATGGAACCTGCACCAGCAGATCATGTTCCTCTTGCTTTCTTGCAGAACACAGTCGGGGAGACTCGATGGCTACAAGAACAGCTCATCCGACTCCTAATCAGCCACTGCGATCTGAACACAGCTGCTAGGTGGGCTCTCCGCTATAACTTGCCTGAGCAGACCCTGCCTCGTGGAGTGGCTGATGAACTTCAGAAACTCCACATCCAGGAGAGGTAAATACTCATGAGTTACACCAGCTTCCATTATGCCTGTGACCCTCTGGCCCCAGAGCGATGGGATTTGGGAGGCACAAAGGTGTCTTAACGTGCCCTCAGGAGGAGAGTTCTGTGTTTGACCCGTAGAGACCCAGCACAGAGTCTCAGCCACCTGTGAGTAAGTTGGACTGTTCAGCTCGTGCAGAGAGATCCCGACTTGCAGAGACGCTGCCTGTGGATAGATGGTTGTCTGAGCTCCTGGAGCTGTTCAGTTAAATCCACAGCATGGAGTTGAAAGCACCACACTTTCTGGAGAATTCATATTCAAATAGCGGAGGGGCTGCTTAGTTTAATGTTCCTCCTCTTTTTGCTTCTTTCTTGAATCTTGCTTTTCCTTCTTGGCTCCTGTCTCTGAGTCTTTTCTAGCCCCTTACTTCAGGCAGTGACGTGAGCTGTTTCTGCATAGGGAATCCACAGCAGGGGAAGAGGAAGCGAAGCACAAATGACAAAGAACCAGACTCTTCTCCGTTGAGCGTTTGCTGATGTCTCTCCCGAGTGGGCGTGTGCACCGGACGCTCTCCCCAGCAGTACCCAGCCAGTCGGCCTCGGTGCCCCCGGAATTGCACCTTCCCGGCAGTGCATATCGGGCCCTGCTGATCGGCTGCCTCTTCACTCCCTTCCTATCGCCAGTGACAGTCCTTGAGCTGAGGGTCTCTTGCCTCAGCAGGCGGGTCTCCTGTTGTAGATACATGGGACCTAGCTAGCGTTTGGGTCCCTCCAGCCTCAGTTCGTTCCCCTCTTGGGCTCAGGGTATGCTCCATCCCAAGGGTTCAACTGTGCAGGACCTGCCCCAAGCCCCTGCAAAAGGGAGGTCCCCGCAGCTCCTGTCTACCTTGCATGGAGAGGCATGTCCCACAGGCCGTGGTGGGACCTCCTAGGGGTTCTGCACTGGAACTGGAAAAGAAAGGGACTCAGCAGCTCTCCATCCCCGCCTGGCTCCGGGCCAGCAGGATGCGCACCCAGCACCTCTCTGCAGAGCACACTGGCCTCCGTTAGAGAACCTACAGCACTGAGGACGAACTCTGTGCAGAGGGACCCTGGCCACCGTCGCTCCTTGGTCCCAAAAGCGGCAGCCAAGCACCTCTGGCTAGAGGCACAAGAGCAGTGAGAGAGGGCGTGCGCCTGCGGTGGAGCAGCCAGGACTGACAGGGCTAGCGAGGTGCCAGGGGCCCATCTCACACCAGTGACTTCCGACCTGCAGAGGGGTCCATCGAATCCAGGGCTGGGGGACGATCCTATGAGAGTGTCCCCAGACACATCCAGGGTGGCCGGGGACCTGGTGGCCAATGTAGTCCCCTCCCGGGAGGGATAGCCCTCCGGCATTGCAAGACACAGCGCTGTCCAGTGGCAGCCCTCAGTGACGTGGCACCATTTTCCATCCTGGCAGCACCGTCTCCCTCCCCACACCAGGGTCTCCACACTCAGAGTCCTGGCACTCAAGGTGCAGCCGGCTGTAGAGAGACAGCCAGTCACGCCCTCCCATGGAGCTGTGCCCTGCAGACAGGCAGGGCTTGCTCAGGCCACCTGAACCCCGTGGGTGTACCATCAGGCTCACAGGTGGCAGTTTCGGAAGGGCCTGACCCTCCACGTGCCCAGGACCGTCTCCCACCCTGCGGCACTGAGACAGCTTCCGACCTCAGAGCAGAGCCCAGTCTGGATGCTGGCACCGGCACCACCTATGGCACTGAACACCAAGGTGCTGGGCAGGACACTAGCAGGGAGCCAGAGGCTCAGGAGAGCATCTTCTCCTGACGAGGCAGGGGCGTGGTCATCTTCAGTGCCGCCCCCCCCATCCACAATAGAGCCCACCAGGAGCTATTGCACGGGGTGCCTCAAAACAAGGAGCTAAGGCAAGGAGCTGGTCGAGTCAGGAGACCCCAGGTAGACATCTTAGCCCCTGAGGGCCCTCAGAAACCATTCAGGCCACCACAGAGACCTCGTAGCAGACTCCTGTCTCTGTCCCACTGCGAAGTGAGTTTCCTTCCTCCTGGAGGCTGTTCACTCATCCACAGCCAGCATCACTGGTGATAGCAGCTGCGAAGGAGACGGGCAGCAGGGCCCAGCCGCAAAATCCACGGACTCAAAGGAGAAGGAGGAGAAGGCATCCTGCATCCAGGGCTCTCGTGTCGGACTGCTAACCAGCCAGCAGCCTTGAGCTGGTATCACTCATTTTGCTGAGTGCCATGATTGCTGCAGACTCTAGGTCAGAGTTCTCAGCTGTGGCGGAGGAGGCCAAGGAAGTGCACGGACCTCCTTACGGGCCACACTGGATGTGGTGAACTTAGCCATACGAACCGTATCCTCCGCCGCAACCATGAGGAGAAGTTCAGGGCTCCAAGTGTTGGGCCTTCTACAGAGGGGCAGCAGACAATACAAGACCTGCTGTCTTTGGAGGAGACAGACTACAAGCTCCATAGCCTAGAAGAGAATTCCAGGGAACATTGAACTTCAAGCTCCTTCTACCAAGAGGAAGGTTTTAATCTCCAACCTCCTCCATGTTTCTGCCTCCCCCTGCCTAGACTTTCTAGGAAGTGGGGCATGGGTGTGTCGAAGCAAAAACACGCTCCTCTCTGTTTAGGCGGCTAACAACTGATTTGCTTTATTGATCAGTAAAGCAAAGTGAGCCAAACGTGGTCCCAGCAAAGCCGGGCCCAGTAAGGCTGCTAATACAATCAATCCTAGTATCTTTGTACCCTTAGCCAAACAGTCTGACATCAGGGCATCCAATTACAGAAATCCTCAATTAATTTTGGAAAAACAAAGCCTTATCAACAAGATGGCGGACAGGTACGAGGGAGTACATCTCCTGTCCCAACCAGCCCAATTAACACATCCCAATAGCCCATCCTGTAGGCCTCTTCTCCCGGGGTGACAGAACGTTCACTCTGGTCTACGTGCCAGAGAGAAAAGCTGAAATGGTTTCTGATATACAAGATGGCTTCTAGCTAAACATAAAATAGCTTCTACAGGTGGCAGATGCAAATGCCCCCATCCACCAGCTGGCCAAGGCCAGGGCTCAGCAAGGCAGTCTCTGGCCCCAAACATGCCTTTGAAGGTGTGCCTGGGGGCAACACACCAGTCCAGTCACCAGATCCTTCCTCTTGTTTTCTGAACCGTCTGTCTCATGTCTATGGTTCGTGGGCCCCCTCAGACTACTGGCTTCTCAGCATGGTAAATTGTGTCCAGTTCTGCCCCTCCACTCCCTCCCTCTTGCCCCCCTCATTCACCACAAAAAGCAGCCGGCCTTGCACGTGGAGTCTCCTGGGCTGCATATGGGTATCATTCCTGCAGCTGCTAGCCTCTGGGGAGGGAGACAGATAATAGCCTGCCCTCTCCTCAGCAGCTAGCAAAGGGCCCAGAGCCCAGTGGAAAGGGGAGCACAGCAGCTGTGCTCAGAAGACACTAAAGGCTCTCTGCACCTCAGTCTTTCCACCTGCAAAATGGGGATAAGAATCCATCATGTTGAAGTACTTTGCAGTCCATGGTGCCCTAGATCCAAATGCAGCCGCTTCTCTTTTCTTAGCAATTGAAATAGTCTAGCAGCAGGTTCCCACAGACTGCAGTCATGCTGCAGGGAAAAAAAGATGGTATCACAGTGCGAATGATGCCATCACCTCTGCTGCTGGTCACACCACATGCCATTCTTGAGCTGTGCAGATCAGAATATTCCCGGGACATGAGATTTCACACCCTCATTAAATATTTTACACAAATATTGACTTCGCGGTGCACACACACACTGTCTGCGAGGGAATGTTTGCACAGCATCAAGCTGCTATGCTACAAAATTAGTCACACCATCCCCAAAACACAAGGTTAGTAAATATTTTCTCAAATAATAAATGGTTTAAAGTCTCTGTGGGAAAGAGACTAGCCAGAAATTCATGATACGTACAAAATAGCTGATTTTTCTTACTCTTACTTTCCTCCAATTGCATCATGTGGATGGGACAGAAGAGAAAAGCTCAAGCTATTTCAAGAGCCTCTGTTGTATGAGGAACCAAACTTGTGCTGTGTAAGATCCTGTTCTGGGAGATCAGTGATAACTTGTAGCACCCATTTCTGCAGGTGTCTCCTTCAGTGCCCAGGTGAAGGCTCTCACATAACGCCTCTCTGGGACGTGGCAGTCACACAGGTGGAGATCTTCTGAGACTTTGGCTAGTCGCTGTCCCCAAAGTGCAGGGCAGTGGGGAGTTGTGTGAAAGCCTTCCAGGGTTTTGTGCCTGCTGGCTCCAAGGAACAGAGGGAACAGCAGGTGTAGCGGCTGAACAGGAAAGGGCTGGGGGAGGCTGGCAGAGGATGGAGAGGTCAGTGAAGCCTTTATGAGCCTTTGAATGGCCCCTGCAGGTAGGAAGCCTGTGATCCTTCGCTGGTTCCCGTCTCATGAGAGTCCCAAAGCTCGGGTTTGGGTCCTGGGCAGGTCAGAGTGGCCTGTCCGCGTGCATGGGCCACACAAGCTAGCAGGTTCCTGGCTTTGTGGTGAGGGGACGGGCGTCCTTACAAAGTGCTGGCCTGGGTCACATCCCTTCTGGAGACGGCAGTGTGAGTAATGCATGGTGGGAGGGGTGGGCGTGGGTGGCTTTTCCAAGCCGCAGTGGATGCATTGCTGATGAAATGAACTTGTGCGCCAAGCTTCTATCTCTGCCTCTCCTGTGCTGGACGCTCTTGCGGTGCTTGGGGGGCGGAGACGCTGGGTCAAGGCTGGTGGAACAGAGAAAGAGGCGGCCACGGAGAGGTTGGAAAAGGTGAGGAGAAGGGAGGCTGGGGAGAGGGCTCCAGGACTTTCTGACTGGCCCTGACCTCCTAGGGTAGCCTGTTGAAAAGCTGCTGCCTGTTGTTCTTTGCAGAGTAGAAGATGCTGGGAGCAGACTGGATGATTGTGCAGAAGATAGAAAGGAGGGTTATTACCAGCTCCCCATCCCTAGGGAGAACATTCACTTCCTGCAGACACGGGAAGAGATGCTGAGGTGGATGGAGAAGGTGCTGCAGGTGAGCCCCTCGCTGCTGGTGGCTTTGTACACGGGCTGTGACCGTCCTCATCGAATGTCAGCGTGTGCCCAGAGCAGCGGGCCTGGCACTTCGGTAGGAAATCCCTGAGGCCTGTGACCTTGGCGATTCACTGGAATAGCTGTTGTGAAACAGGCTAGCAGGAAAACTTCCCATGGGACACTTTATCCTGGATAAAAGCTGCTTTATTCACAGTGCCCAGTGCACGTCCAAAGCCAAAGTGCCGTCCTCATCGAATGTCAGCGTGTGCCCAGAGCAGCGGGCCTGGCACTTCGGTAGGAAATCCCTGAGGCCTGTGACCTTGGCGATTCACTGGAATAGCTGTTGTGAAACAGGCTAGCAGGAAAACTTCCCATGGGACACTTTATCCTGGATAAAAGCTGCTTTATTCACAGTGCCCAGTGCACGTCCAAAGCCAAAGTGGTTATTCTTCAGTTGTTCCCCCCCCGGAGCAGCCTGCCCGGCCCCGGAGCTGTTCCCCCCCCGGAGCAGCCTGCCCGGCCCCGGAGCTGTTCCCCCCCCGGAGCAGCCTGCCCGGCCCCGGAGCTGTTCCCCCCCCGGAGCAGCCTGCCCGGCCCCGGAGCTGTTCCCCCCCCGGAGCAGCCTGCCCGGCCCCGGAGCTGTTCCCCCCCCGGAGCAGCCTGCCCGGCCCCGGAGCTGTTCCCCCCCCGGAGCAGCCTGCCCGGCCCCGGAGCTGTTCCCCCCCCGGAGCAGCCTGCCCGGCCCCGGAGCTGTTCCCCCCCCGGAGCAGCCTGCCCGGCCCCGGAGCTGTTCCCCCCCCGGAGCAGCCTGCCCGGCCCCGGAGCTGTTCCCCCCCCGGAGCAGCCTGCCCGGCCCCGGAGCTGTTCCCCCCCCGGAGCAGCCTGCCCGGCCCCGGAGCTGTTCCCCCCCCGGAGCAGCCTGCCCGGCCCCGGAGCTGTTCCCCCCCCGGAGCAGCCTGCCCGGCCCCGGAGCTGTTCCCCCCCCGGAGCAGCCTGCCCGGCCCCGGAGCTGTTCCCCCCCCGGAGCAGCCTGCCCGGCCCCGGAGCTGTTCCCCCCCCGGAGCAGCCTGCCCGGCCCCGGAGCTGTTCCCCCCCCGGAGCAGCCTGCCCGGCCCCGGAGCTGTTCCCCCCCCGGAGCAGCCTGCCCGGCCCCGGAGCTGTTCCCCCCCCGGAGCAGCCTGCCCGGCCCCGGAGCTGTTCCCCCCCAGAGCAGCCTGCCCGGCCCCGGAGCTGTTCCCCCCCAGAGCAGCCTGCCCGGCCCCGGAGCTGTTCCCCCCCAGAGCAGCCTGCCCGGCCCCGGAGCTGTTCCCCCCCAGAGCAGCCTGCCCGGCCCCGGAGCTGTTCCCCCCCAGAGCAGCCTGCCCGGCCCCGGAGCTGTTCCCCCCCAGAGCAGCCTGCCCGGCCCCGGAGCTGTTCCCCCCCAGAGCAGCCTGCCCGGCCCCGGAGCTGTTCCCCCCCGGAGCAGCCTGCCCGGCCCCGGAGCTGTTCCCCCCCAGAGCAGCCTGCCCGGCCCCGGAGCTGTTCCCCCCCAAGAGCAGCCTGCCCGGCCCCGGAGCTGTTCCCCCCCAGAGCCGCCTGCCCGCCGGCCCCGGAGCTGTTCCCCCCCGGAGCAGCCTGCCCGGCCCCGGAGCTGTTCTGCCATTGCTGTTGCAGTCTGTGTCCTGTGTAGACAAGCCCTGAGTAGAAACGCCGTTTGTTGCTGCAGCCCGGCCAGGTGGTTGGCATCGACATGGAGTGGAGGCCATCCTTCGGCCTGGTGGGGAAGCCACGCGTCTCAGTGCTGCAGATCGCTGTCGAGGAGCGGGTGTTCCTTTTGGATATGCTGCAGCTCCTCAAGCCAGATGAGATGGAGCAGCTCGCCCGCTTTGTCCAGGCCCTCTTCTCAGATCCAAGCATCATTAAACTAGGTATGTTCAGCTTTCCATGGCAGGAGCTGTCAGCCTTTCCCACTCCTCCACCTGCCGGGGAGCAGCAGGGACTGTCCAGCAGGGCGTCATTGGTTCAGTGAGAACAGGCTTAGAACATTGTTCTCTCCTCGCCTCCGGAGTCCTCTTTGTTAGATGGCTCCTGTAGCTGGAAGCAGGGTGAACAGCTTTCATCACTGCCTGCGCCAGCCCAGAGAGAACAACCCTGTGGGTAACCCATCTGGTACCAGAGCAAACATCTGTCTGGGCTAGCCTGCTCCGCACCAGACCACAACTCTCTGGGTTAGCCCAACCAGCACCCGGCCCCAGAATGCTTGGAGTTAGCCTACTCCGTGCCAGAAACCAAAGCCAGCTAAACACCAGAGCACCCAGTACCAGAAGCCTTAGTATTCCAATTTAGCCCATCCAGAACTAGAACTGATAGATCTCTGGGTTCGCCTGTCTTGTACCAGCACCATTGGCGCTCTGGGTTCGCCTGTCTGGTACCAGGACCACTGGCGCTCTGGGTTCGCCTGTCTGGTACCAGGACCACTGGCGCTCTGGGTTCGCCTGTCTGGTACCAGGACCACTGGCGCTCTGGGTTCGCCTGTCTGGTACCAGGACCACTGGCGCTCTGGGTTCGCCTGTCTGGTACCAGGACCACTGGCGCTCTGGGTTCGCCTGTCTGGTACCAGGACCACTGGCGCTCTGGGTTCGCCTGTCTGGTACCAGGACCACTGGCGCTCTGGGTTCGCCTGTCTGGTACCAGGACCACTGGCGCTCTGGGTTCGCCTGTCTGGTACCGGGACCATTTGCGCTCTGGGTTCACCTGTCTGGTACCAGGACACTGGTGCTCTGGGTTCGCCTGTCTGGTACCAGGACCACTGGCGCTCTGGGTTCGCCTGTCTGGTACCAGCGCCATTGGCGCTCTGGGTTCGCCTGTCTGGTACTAGAGCCATTGGCGCTCTGGATTTGCCCCCCCAAAACCAGGGGCCACGAGCTTTATGGGTTAACCCACCTGGAACCAGAACTCAGCGCTCTTGGGTTAGCCTGCCATGTAGCAGAACCCAGAACTCTGTTTTTTCTCTGTGTGATTTGAGGCTTTGACTCTGCAGGTTATGGGATGTCTGGGGACCTGAACAGCCTAGCTTCTACCTGCTCTGCTTTTAAGGACATGGATAAGCAGGTGCAAGGCACAGTGGACCTGCTCACAATAGATAAACAAGTAAGAATGGGAACCTGAAGAGCTGGAAAGTCCTTCACTTGACTGTGCTGGAAGATAACTGTCATTGTTTCACAGCATTGTCTTTGGCATCTGGTATTGCTGGGAGGTGGCTAGATGACCTAATAGATCGGTTTCATCTCTAGTTCCTAGGGTGATGTGATTTTTTTTTTTTAGACAGACCACAAGCATTTACTTTTGATTAGCTGAAAAGAGGTGGCTGGGCATTTTAATAGTTCTCCACTTCACCTTCGTAAAAGGAACCAAAATGGAGCCGGGGTCTACTCACTTTTGGAACACAGCCATCATACTCGTGCTTGCTATGAGCAAGTCCTTGCTGAGTGATCTCTGAGACGAATAAAAGTGTCATTATTCTAGCATTGGTAGGATCCCAGGCACAGTTACGGGTTTCAGGCAGCTCCTTGTGATAAAGAGCCAGGAGCTGTAGACTCAGTGCAGGACAGGCTCTGTGTTCAGCTGCTACCAAAATGCAGCTGGCTCTAGGTGAGAACTCAGTCATTGTGTAGCAACGAACAGTAATTTTAGTAAGGAAATGAAAAATTGCATGTGTTTGAAACTGCAGGGGGCATGTAAGGAGGCAGGATGGGATTAGCCAAACCCAGGGGCTTCTCACCCTAACTCAGGAAACTGGTGTCCACAGTTTTATCCAGACTATGTGAGGGACATTTCAGAATCGTCCTTGTTTGCTCCAGTCCTGAGGCACCTTTTCTGTTTCACACACTGGTGGGGAGGAAGGTGCTGGGGTTCTTGGCTATTCATGTATTTAGTGCCTGGTGGCCTCGGGCTCTCTCCTGTGCATGCTCTGCAAACACATGAGAAGAGAAACTTCCTGACCCAGCTTCTTAGCATCTGAGACGAATGCTTCGGAAGACATGTTGTCACCCTTTTAGCGAGTTCAGAGGAGAGTTCTACAGCCAGCAGGCCAGAAGTCATAGCCAGGCTTCTCGAGTGCGAATCTGATCCTGACCAAGTAACAGGCAATGTAGCTGGCTAACATGTGTTGTAACTTTGCCTTAATAAGATGTTTCAAATAAAAGTCAAGCTAGTCCAATTTTTCCCTTCCATGCTTAGAAACCAGGTTCATTTCCAACAAGTGAGTTTGCAAGCAAATATCCAAGATCTGTTTGCCAGACCAGCCTTGTCTGAGATGGCAGGGCTGGCTGTGTGTACCTCTTCTGAAGTGAAAGGGGATTACGTTGGGGTTACTCCCTGGCCACATGCCTTATTTGGACTTTCCACCCCACTGCAACCTGCAAGATTTCCAGGCTCTGTTTTGAAATCTGTTTGTTTTGCATCTTTCTCTCCCCCTTTAGCTGCAGAAGCGCTGCAGTGGCCGAAAGAAGAGTGGCCTTTCGGTTGATGTACTGTCACAGGAGAAGAGTTGTGGGGACCGAGCGTTCAGACAGCCGGAAAGAGGGCTCAGCCTGCTGGTGCAGCATGTCCTGGGGAAACCTCTTGATAAAACTGAGCAGCTCTCCAACTGGGAGAAACGGCCCTTGCGGGAGGAACAGATCCTTTATGCAGGTCTGATTAGCACGTAACCTAGAGTTAGGTGCTGTGGACAGCTCTGTCCTGGGCCTGCATTTCATTAGATGTGGAAAAAACGGGAAGCAGTGGAGGGGAAAATGGCTTTGCAGGTTAGTTCCTGTTCAAAGAAGCCAGTGTATTTTGTTTGTCCTTTCATGGATCTAGTTTTAATGGCTGGAGTGTAAGCTGTCCAATGTGTCAATATTTCTCTGAGAAAAGAATTTCTTTTCCAGTCAAATCCCACATAAATCAAACTTAATCTCAGTGGAAACTCCTCTGAATAGTTGAAGAGGAAAAAAGTCCATTTCCTTCTGCCTCCTTTCACTGCACACGGCTTTTCTGGGAAATTGCTGTTATGTCTTGTATGTCACAAGGATGCAGTGAAATCAAAATGGGCCTGGATAGAGTTCGGAGCTGCAACTCGGGCACCGGTCTAGGCAGGTCAATATGAACTGGAGGTGTCAATCCAGAGACGGGTCCCAGTGAGGGCGGTAAAACAGGGCAGCCCAGTGTTAAATCCACCCTTCTGTGAGCAAGAGCAACTCACATTCAGATCAGTGTTTGAGATTTGCATAAGTGACTAGGAGATTTAGCCACCTGATTCCCATTGAAATGAGTAGGGGTTGGGTAGCTAAATCCTCAATCAGAAATGAATGTCTCAAGGAGTGGAAGTTGCAGCTTCTTTATACCAAGGCTGAGTGCGGCTCCATGCCTTGGAGTTCTGTGGGGGATAGACCAGAGTTGTGCCACTTCTGAACTGAGGAAATGGAATTCTGGGCTAGCGTTCTGGAGGTTGATCCTTTCTAGTCCAGCGCCGTCAGCACCTGTCCTGGGAGCTCAATATTGTCTAGCAGCATCACCACCACTCCCACTGCTTACTGGGCTCTTAGAGGACATTTGGGGTAAATTAGAGCTAAATAGCACTGACCACAGACTGACAGGGCTGGTGGCAGGAAACAAACTTTATGGGACTGTGGGAAACTTGGCCATACCCATGGTAAGTGGACATCTGGCTCACTCAAATCATGCTGAACCATGGATGTTGCTGAACCAGAGACTGGAGAGGTTCAGCCTGTATATACTGAATCTGTACATGAGTGTAAAATACACTGCTAGGTACCTGCAGCTACCAGGAGCAACGGGATGTAGTTGCATTTGTATAGGTGACGAGTCTTTTCTTTCTATCTCAGACTGACGGGTATATTCTGTTTTATAGCGTCGGATGCGTACTGCTTGCTGGAGGTGTATAAGAAACTGTGTGAGGATCCATCAGGCTTTGGTCTGTGTTCAGACCTCACTGAGAGCCTGGTGAGGAAACCTAACCCAAAGCCCAGGGCAAAGAAGCCGCTGAATCAGCAAGAAATGCCAACAACTTCGAAGCAGGTTTGTGGACATCTCCAAAGAGCTGCACGTTGCTCCCAGTTTCTTCAAACTATACATGGGTCTCACCGCCTCGAGCAGGCGCCTGCCAAGCCTGTCTGCAGCCTTTCTTTGGTCCTGGAGAGCAGCAGTCCTTCTCACTTCCCTGTTTTCCTGGGGAAATGTGTGGAACTTCAAGGTGCAAGTTCTAAAAATTCCCAGCATAGGTCAATTCCTATGGGAATATTGCCGGCTGTTCCCCTTTGTCAGGGAGCGAGGGGAAAGTGCACAGTTTGCCACATTCCTCGCTCTGGCTGGGGCGCACAGGGGGCAGATGAACCTGGACCTGCCCCAGCTGGGGACCATGCTCCCATTCCCTGCGGCGGCCATGGAGAGGCGCTTCTCACCTGGCCCTAAGTGGCTGTGCTGAGAGAGGGCTGGAGCCAGTCCTCTCTCCCCAGGGCAGCCTGCAGACTTGAACTGCTCGTCCCCAGCCCCACCCCAGAGTGCTGATTGAAGTGAAGCCTGGACATTTTCCTTTTCTTTTCCAAAAACCAAAATGAATTATGTTAAGGACCCGAGTAGCCCCTTGTAAATCTTCTAGTTTGAAATAAAATAAACAAACATCAGTCATTCCTGAATGTCTGGTTTTTTTATAGCTAGCCAAAGTGATAGGCCCAGAGGCTGTGAGCGCCCCTCCTCCTGTCTCCCCCAAGGAGTTCAGCGTGGTCTGCGATAACATGCTGCAGGGGCTTGGGCGCCACCTTCGCTGCCTCGGCGTGGATGTTCGCATGCTGGAGAACGATGAGAGCCATCGAAAAGCTGCTGAGGTCAGTCCTGCACCGCACGGCAGTGTTTAAATGAATGCGATTTCAGGTGGTATCAAAAGGCCTGGGAACATTGACTGCTGCACACTTAGCCTTGGCCCGTGATGACACCTCAGTGTCTGTTACAAGTGGCCCTGGGGCCCTGACTATTGTCATGCTTTCCACTTTGGGGGGAGATGCGGGGAACAGACCCTGTTTGCCTGGAACTCTGTGATCTCGCGGCTTGTTCCTTAGACGCGCAGGTGGACCGCAATCAGAGCAGGGCTGAGAGTGAAGGGTTCCATGATAAAATACCAGGAAACTTACCAGCTAGCTAGCATGCGCAATTCCAGGCTCCCTAGAAATGAATCAGAAGTGAACATTCAAGAAGGAAGGCTCACTGTGTCGACGGGGACACAAGCTTTTTCATTTCACATGGGTTTCTACTATGGCCGAAAGGGAGCTATCCAGCCCACACAGCGTTTGTGGTATCGAATATGCAGTGATGACCAGGCCTAGTGTACAGGATGTTTCTTCTTCAGATGTCTGCTTGGCGGAAAGCCTCAGCAGTCCCTCGCTTCTAATATCCCCTCCCTGACACACATGAGTCATTCATATACACTAGGTCTCCCGCATTCCCCCACATCCGTTTTCTTGTCCTGATGCCTTATCGTGCTGTGAACAGGATGTTTCCGGTTGCACTCTCTATGGTGATCAGGCAAACATCCCTTTACTTTCAAAAAGCCCTTGGCAAGTTTCTGCAAGGGAGAGACTTTGCTATGTGCTTGGATAATCAGATTGCTCTGCTACCTTTACAGCTGAGGAGCTTGATTTAATCCAAGTCTAATGCGGAATATTGCATACCTAGAAATGAAGCAAGTGACTCTCCCAAGGACAGGAGAAAGCTCTGAATAGTGATCACCAGGGAAAGAAGCTTTCATGCTAGCAAAAAAGCGCTAGCTGGGCTCATTCCATGCACATGCAAAATTTGGGTTTGTTTCTCCATTAGTTATTTCAGTTATATTATTGGTCACATCTGCATACATACACCCCTTTCTTGCGTTCATATTGTAAAGATCACCCTAGCCAAGCACAGCCCCTTGAATAGCCCCACATCTGCTTCCTGTTGTTTTTCCAGCACCAGTTGCTAAAGCAAATGTGACTGTTACTAAGAGGATGGTCTGACCTTTTGGATTTTATCTGAGGTGTTGCTCACAAGCAAAGGGCAAGCCTGCATCTATGGGATTCCACTGGGTCCTCTTGCAATAATGTCTATGGCAGGGATAGAGCAATAGCATCTTTTGCTTTGGGAAGTACTACTCCCAAATCCACACTGAACCCTGTGCCTGTACTGGGTGCTGCTTCCGACTTTTCTGCAGCGAACTGCCAAGTGTTGCCTTCAGGGTGGTGGCTGTCCTAGGAAGACTTGTCTCATCAGACCTGGATTTTCAAATCCGATGTGCTGCACCAAATGTGAGAATGAATTAAAAAATGGGGCGGAATTAAAATCTCTTTTATGAATTGCTTTTCAGTTAAATCTGCTCACCCTGGAATAAAAGGTCTCATACATGGACTGTCAGTGAATAAATCCTTTCCACCCGTCTGTGATTAGCCAGTAACTTGCATGTGAACATCTGGTTTATACTAGAGTGTGGGCACCAGATAATTTTGGAAACCCTCTGACTTGGCCCTGCTGTGCAAGTGATGGACAGTAGCAAATCTCTCCAGTGGCTGGTGATGGGGCACTAGATGGGAGAGAAGATTCTTTCCCAGGTGTGTGTCTGGTGGGCCTTGCCCACACGCCCAGGGTCTAACTGATCACCATCTCGTGGCTCAGAAAGGAATCGTCCCCAGGCCAGATTGGCAGAGAGCTTGTTTGGTTGGTTTTGGTTCTGCCTTTCTCTGCAGCACAGGGCACTGGTTACTCGCAGGTTTAAACTAGTGTAAATGGTGGATTCTCTGTCACTCGATGTCTGAGACTTCCAGTGACCCAGCTAGAGGTTGGGGGCCTATGACAGGTGGGTGGGTGAGGTTCTGTGGCCAGTGAAGGGCAGAGGTAAGACTAGCGAGTCATTTTGGTCCTTCAGGCCTTGCAGTCTCAGGCTTTGAGTTAGGCACAGTGTACGCAAAGGAGAGGGGAGGCTACTTGTCTTAGTGCAGTTGAACGCTCTGAGATGTTTTGTCCCATGGGCTCTGTCTGCTCCCCTGCTGTCCCCAGCAGTGGAAGCCTGCGTTTCCTTTTCTGTGCTTGTCCTCTCCCCGTCCTGGAGCAGAATGTGCTCTCCACCGCCTGTCCTTGCAGAGCCAGGCTGGGGCGAGCTCAGCATACAGTTTCATGGAAGTGCCTTACCCCCTTCCCACATGGGATCCCGCTGCTTGGGGCGTGTTTTCTGAGCCCAAATGTGGTGTTCCACTGCAAACAGCAGTCTCATGGTCTAGATCCTGCATGTGGCAGGTCAGTCTTGGACACCTCTTGGACGCCTTTGCAGACTAAGGAATAACTCCCCTGCCATTGGTGAGAGCGAGCAGTATATTGGTCAGCAGACCAAGGCGGCAGAATGCACAGTGCACAAACCATTGAAAGATGGTGCCAAATGCAGACAGAAGCACAGAAATCGCTGAGCTGAGACACAGTGCATCCCAGAGCATTCGGACAGGAGCCAGGATGCCCTCTGGCCAAACAGGTCTGAAACGAAGCTCTGTGTCTAGCCTTCTTATGCTGCATGTGGCGGGCAAGGTTCTGAAGATGATGATGATTAATAATAAATACCACCTAGTGAATCATGGATGAATCAGCTGCAAAGTTAGATGACAACTTCAGGGCTTTGACTCTCTTCAGATGTGTTTCTCTAGGCTGGATGGGCCCAAGAAGAACATGCATTTGTATGTAGCTGAGCCAGAGATGAGGTGCTTTTAAGAAACACACAGTTTAATTTCTAAAGCTTTGCCTTCCCCTGTTACACTTAATGACAGCCTAGTGCGTCCTGGAGCAAAAGGAGAGACATTGCATTGTATTGATTTCCGGGCGTTTCCTCTTGCCAGCATTGAGGACTAGTGTTGATAGAAGCCAGAAGGAGCTTCCTAGGCAGCCAGAGGAGAGGTCCCAATGACTTGAGGTCTGATACATGGAGAGAGCGTAGCATCTCCAACACAACGCAGGTCAATGCATAGAGATGAGAATAAGCTCATGCCTAGATCAGTGTGCAGTCTCTGTTAGCAGTGACTCTTAAATCCATGTGTGTAGCTAAAGGAAGGTGCTGGTTTTACATGGGAAATATCCCATTGCCGTAGTCTGTAGTATATTGACATGTATAGTAGAGTGGGGACCTGTGGGGTGCAGCTGGATCACACAGAGAACCAGGCACGTTTTCATCGTTTTGAAACATCTTGGTTCCAGAATTACTCACCTGTTCTGCTGTCAAGCCGTTCCAAATGAATCTTACCAGTCAAGAGCCTGGCTTGGGCCCCCTCAAGCATTCGATGCAAACGTGTGCTGGAATGACGGGCTTGTGGCTAAGCACTTGGACTGGAAGTCATGAGAGAAGCTCTGCCCCTGCTTCCTGTGCGAGCTTGGACAAGTCACAAGCTTTCTGTCAGTCGGGGCGACAGCTCCATCGTCTCTCCCGAAGTGTGAGGCCCCTTTCATTACCATTTGATGCTTTCTGGTATGGTGCTCATGGAATCTACAGAAAGGCTCTTGTATAGAGCAAGAATCTGCATCACCAAAGGTGTTTATTTTTTAATATGCTCTGATTGGGAAGGAAAATCGGAATTAATTGATATTTTTATCCATGTTAATTATGGCTTTTTCTTTGTTCCCAGATTGCCCGGAAGGAAGGAAGGGTCATTTTAACCTCTGGACTCCCATATCAAACAGTAAGTTTCTGGTGTTTCTCTTTTGTAGTATAATTTCATGGACTGGGATGCACAAAGTGGAGGAGAGGAAAAGTCAAATGTGAAAGCAGCAGCTGGACTTACTTTTTCATCTGTTTCCTGCACTGAATGCCATTGATTTGTAAAGGATTTTGTAAGGCTTGTTCTAGCTCTGCATGTCAGAGTATTGGGAATAAGTTTCTTTTACACTTTGTATTCAGCCAGAGGCAAGAGCAATTATGCTGCATCTCCGAATTTAAAATAAAGCAAACACATCTCAGAACAAAGTGGCTCTGTGCAGCTTATCCCTCATGATTCAGTGCAATTCACTTCCCATCCATTTCATCAAGGAGTAAAAAGAGATTCCTGTTTCTTGGCTGGATCAGAACTGACAACGCTATCTGCTGTTCTAATGCTCTGGAGTTTTTCTTTAGGCCTGGAAGAGATAGGATGGAAATGCCAAACACAGTTGGAAGCTTGAGTTGCTTTTTGTGTATGGAAAAAATAGAACAACCCGTGCATTCAGTCCCATATCAAATGCCCATGTCCCTCAGTGAAACAGAATGCAGTTCCCCTCCCAGATACCATTAATGCAGTGTTAGGGGGATATATTCAACTCCACCGGTCAGTGATTGAAATGGTACAACACCCATTGTAGAAGGTCACGGGTCTCGTCTTGTGACCCACAAATTAATTTAGAGCAGTAAAACTGGTGGGTGCCAAGGAGAGGACAGATTCCAGACCACAGATGCAAAAGATCCCAACTGTCTTGTCTCTGTGTCTGTAGGAGTGATCACAGAACCCGTTGTGCATGGTTAGTACTGAATATTATGTGGTGGCATTTGTGAGAGAACACTGAAAATACTAAGGCCATGTCCACACTAAGGAGCTTACAGTGGGACAACTGGACTGAGGCAGCTGTGCTGCTGTAAGATCGCTTCTGGAGCCACTTCACGCTCTCCCACTGACGGCAGAAAGCCACCTCCAGGAGTGGTGGGAGCTGTTCGGGCAGGAGATGCTCTCCCACCACCATAGTGCTGTGCTCATGACCAGACCACATATGCTGGAGAAACTTATGTTGTTCTGGCAAGGGAGGTGTTTTCCACACCCCTGGCTCTGAGGTTTTGGCTAGGCTGCAGGCCTCTTTCGGAAGAAGCTTTTCCAGCTTTTCCACACTGCAAAAGCGCATCGAAAAAGCGATCTGCTTTTTCCACAGATAGCATCCACACTGAATGGACGCGCTCTCGCATTTAAGCTGTGATTACTATAGACGGAGTGGCCACCAGGGAACTTGTGCTTTTTCCCCCTCCCTCTTCCCCATTCACACACACCTTTTTCCAAAAGAGCTCTTTTGGAAAAGGGCTTCTTCCTCATTGAAAGAGGCTTACCGATGTCGGAAAACCCCTCTGTTCTTTCGATTTTTTTCCCCAAAAGAACACGATTGCAGTGTGGATGTAAGTGAAGTTTTTCCGAAAAAACTCTTCAGTGTGGACGCACCCTTAGGACTTCAGCTAAGTGGCTAGGAAAAAGGGTGCAATACAAATGAACCTAAGAAGGGGAGGTAGTTCCAAGTGCTACTTCCCATTTCATAGCTTGTTTTAATCATGCCAGTGTACGATCTTCCAGCTAGCCTCGGCCAAGAGCTGTGGTTAAATAAAATCCCCCATTGTCATGCTAGAGTGTACCACTACATTCTAAGTGGTACATTCTGAACATTGTATTGCTCCAACAAACTCAAAGCCACAAAGGTGGCCACATGTTAAATTACCTTCTGAGGTTGTTAGATCTGAATTTTAGTGAGTTAACACAATAGCATCAAACTTGGTTTTAAAATAAGAACTGCCATATTGGAATGAGCCCAGATCTCAGTGGTACGAATGCTTTGTTTGTCATCTCATTGGTGTGTGAATTTGTCTTTTGAAGCTACAGTCCCAGGTGGGAGAAGGAAGATGTTTCTCTGTGGATTGCTCGGAAAAAGCAAAGGAGCAGGCCCTCCAGGTTCTGAAGCACTTCAATGTTAAAGTGTCCGTTGCAGATGTCTTCAGCCGTTGTCAGGTAGGACTCTTCCTTTCTGAATTAGTAGCATTGCTTTGTTAGTATCTTTGCATAGCCGACACCACTGTAATAGTCAGGTTTCTTGTCTTTTGGTCTTGCTTTGAGTTCCCAGGTTCCCACGTATGCTTGGGAAAGGTGTCACAAGGCAGTGTGTCTTTTGGAATGTGCTAATATCCTTTAGAAATGTTGAACAATAAGCTAGAATAGCAACAATGCACTGAAGAGTGCTAGCATCTCTTTTGGGGTCTTCTTTTAACCTTAATGTTCACAGATCTCGTCATCATTGTTCCTCCTTTCTCTACTAGCATGTGCTGATTTTATTATGAAGCGTGGGTAATATGGCTCTGTTGTTCTGATAAGTACTGATTACATTAATGGAGAAAGATCTGTAGGTTTTGAAGGCTAGGTTTTTTTGTGTCAGGGTTGTTTGTTAGTTCACTTTGCTGCCAGCTGAATAACCCAGTTTATATTTAGCATTGGGTACTCATAGATTATTTTTTCGAATAAGGTGCTGATTTTATTATGAAGCGTGGGTAATATGGCTCTGTTGTTCTGATAAGTACTGATTACATTAATGGAGAAAGATCTGTAGGTTTTGAAGGCTAGGTTTTTTTGTGTCAGGGTTGTTTGTTAGTTCACTTTGCTGCCAGCTGAATAACCCAGTTTATATTTAGCATTGGGTACTCATAGATTATTTTTTCGAATAAGTCTGGTTGCGTTAGGCCTGAATATTCTGATTTCACTGTTAAAATGCTGAAATGGATTTTTTTGAAAATTGTATAAGCCATCTTGTGACTTGCAACCTCTCTTATCTTAGCCTCACTTTTAATGAGAGGAAAGGAAGAAATATACAACCCTGACTAGAAAGGGAGCATTCCCATATGGGGAAACGAGTCAAGTCTAGTGTTTCAGTGTCTTCTGTTTCATTCCCTCTGGTAAATAGCAGCAGGGTCTCCTAGGATTGTGGAGTTTGCAAATTTTTCACCAAAAGGCCGTGACTATTGGGAAAGCACATTAGCATGGTGCCCTAGAGTTCCATTTCCATCTGATTTCAAAAGCTGTTGAAAGAAGGTCTGTAATTCACTCAGAAAATGAGTGGGCCAGTGATTCGGGAGCACCCCTAGGACGGGACTATCACCGTGCTGAGCAGGTGGTGTGAACGTGATCAGGAAAGATGGAGATCGTCAGGTATCGGTTAATGTACTCTTGTGGTTTCATTCTTTTCCGAAGAGATTTAGCATTTATCTAAAACCACAAGCAGCCTTCTTGGTTATTTTTGTGTACAAACATGCTAACCAGCCATGTAACCTCAGCAGAGGGATTGCTGAGGAGTTCATAAAATAAACTGAAAACCAGTGAAAAGCCATGTGAACAAACGTGTGATAACTGCAGTTGGGTCTGTAGCTTGTGGTATAAAACTGGCCCCCTGGTTATCAGAACTAGGAGGGTGCAATAGATAAAGGGTCTTTTATTGGACCAACTTTGGTTGGAGAGAGACAAGCTTTCATGCTTGCCAAAGCTCCTCTTCGAGTGTGGGAAAGGACGCCGAGTGGCACAGAGAAATGTAAGGTGGAAAAGATTGTTTAGCACAAGCTGAGGGACTGCTCAAGGCAGAGTGGCCCATTAATATTTTTACATGACCTACCCTGAAAGGCCCCTTAGTACATGTGCTCTTCATGCTAAATAATCTGTTCCACCATGGATTGTGCTGTGGCGCTGGGAGCCCCTTTCTCAGACCTGAAGAAGAGCTCTGTGTGGCTGACAGCATAGTCCAAGAAAAGATGTTACCGCACCCCCCTTGTGTGCCTGCTATCCTGGGACCACATGGCTACAACTACACCCGCTGGATGGTGCAGGTGCTGGAACTGCTTAGCTTGGCAGTTCTGCAATCTGTGCTGCTCTGCAATCATCGTTACTTGTTGTATAAATCGGTGCCTAGCAAAGTCCCATGCGTATCCTCCTCCTTCCAGAAGAAATCTGCACCTGTGTATGATGATGGTAAAAGAGCTGTATTTACTCTCACATGCTAGGGGACAGACCCTGCCTTTTTTGTCAAGCTGTTTGGTATTTACAGGGAAGCCCGCAGGTAAATACACGTATAAAATCCAGAGGTGGGACTAAAGGTTGCACTTATAGTGACATTTGGGTAAGGATTCAAGTATGTGGGGCATAATTGTTCTATATAAGAAGCTGCCGAAATACTGTTGCAGAATCTTGTTATACATTGATGTGTCTACAGGTAGTTGCTGCATTTGTATAATTTTAGCTCAGAATTGCTGTTTCTTGGATGTTACAAGTAGCTTACTGGCGAAAGCCCTGCTGCTTCTCACCCTACTTTTGGAGCTGTCTAATCCCCACTGTTGATCTCGTCTGTGCCTTCAATTCAATGTAGCCACATTGTAGGGATGTGGCTTTTCAGTGCTGATTTGCATACAGAACTGAGAAGATTCATATATCTCTGAGGTTGTACTGCTAACTTAATGTGCGTACAGAACATTTCCTTCCCACTGGAGACCAATTCCCTTCCAAATCGGGGCTACAAGAATCACTTCCTTACTAGCTCTTGCCTGATTCCAATGGGTGCTCAGGACCAATCAGGTAACCAGCGTAGATCATGCTGCACAAAAGTGTTGGTGGGGCATTTGAGCAAATCAAAAAAGAGGGCAAAACGCTGCTGTTCCTCAGGATCTTCAATATGAACACAGAGTATTCAAAACTTACTTTTTAAGGTCTTGTCTAAAGGCACCATGCACTTCTCACAGCAAACTTTATGAAGTTAATTGTGTTTACTAGCCTATGTCTACACTGCCTCAGAAAGCTGATGCAAGGTATACAAGTCCCGCTATGTGAATAACAAAACTGGAGTCAACGTATCGTAGGTCGAGTTACCATGGAGTCTCCAATGAGACAAACTCTCCCATTGACTTCTCTACCTCTGACAAAATGAGTAAGGTTACAAGGGGTTGACTGCAGAGTGATCTGCAGTGATTTGCTGGGTCTTCACTAGATCTGCTAAATCAACCATCGATCGATCCGTCTCGGAGCCGCCAGCCCCGCTGTAGTGTAGATGTAACTGAGGATGAATGCAGGACTTACAGCTCTAAGCCATCCCCCCCCCACACACACACATTATATTATCTGACTTTGTCTTGACCAGAGTAAAGACCATGGCCCTCAAATATGAGCTCACTTTGTTGCTGCCTTGGCATGAGAGTGGTCACTTCTGCAGAAGCAATCAAGGGCTTTCTACTCCCCTCAGAGCACAGACCAAGGCTAGTGCAGAGATTTCAAGATAACCAATGTCAAAGCCCAAGCACTGTATCGTCCGCTTGACAATGTGGCTCTCTGACTTTGGCCACCTTCCTTCCTTGTGGATGTGGAGCTCGGCTTCGTGGTCTCTGAACAACTGGCCCTTGAATGGAGAGTTTCTATTCCACTGCCAGAGACCTGGAGGTTTGTTATCAGCTGTGATCGTCAGTGACAGAGAAGCATTTTCTCTGTGTTGCAGGAAGCAATACGGCACCCTCCCTGTCTCACAGGGCCTTGTTTGGTCTCTCGTGCTCATAGTCTGTAAATGATCCGATGAATGTCAGCAAATATTGTTACTGCACGTAACACAGAAGGCATTAAAAATAGCCACCCGTTCACTGTGGTGTCCAGGATTGTCATGCAGTGCACTTCCTCTTAGCAGCCCCCTTGGCATGATGGAGATCTCCCTTGGGAATGGAGAGGAGCCTGACTTGCTTTGTTGCCCAGCTCTGAGATCAAATCTTTCTCAGTTGAAGCAAGCATAGGTGCTAGTTCCCTGTGTGACCGAAGGAAAGAGTCACCTCCATGTGCTTCTTCCTTGCTCTGCTTTGTGTTTTAAGTTCTTTATGAATCATCAGAGACTACATCTACACTATAGCCTGAATTGACACTCTGATATCAATCCACTGGTGGTCCATTTAGTGGGTCTAGTCAAGACCCACTAAATCGACTACAGATTTCTCTCCCATCAACTCCATTACTCTACCTCAGAGTAATGGAAGTCAACAGGGGAGTTTCTCCTGTTGATCCACCTGCAGCGTAGAGCCTGCAGTAACTCAACTTAAGGTATGTCACTTCTAGATACATTATTCACCTAGATGGAGTTGTGTAGCTTAAGTCGACCTTCTGTTGTAGTGTAAGTGTAGCCTCAGATACACGTGCAGCTGAAGTGAATGGAAGTGGTGTGCATGTCTTTGAGATTAGAAAATGGATTTTAGATCATACAATCCATATACTATTGCCTATGCTCATCTTGAAAGACCTAGAGAAGCACTTAGGGGCTGCCTGGGGATTTTTTAAAGTCAGGCCTTAAATACCACCAGTGGATTTTAAGGTCAATTAGCAAACCAGGTTGGTTAAAAGACTTAATGAAGCTCAGGTTGTAAACTTATATCAGCCACTCAAGTATGTCTCAGCAAACCATTATGTCATGTGTGTCTGCCTGTGCGCGCACATACATATAGCTGAAATCCAGGAAATTTTAAATGAATTTTTTAAGTTTAAGACCCATCTCCACTTTTCACCAACACCTTTTTAATGTACGGCATCCCAAGCACCTTGGTAGGTGAGATTAGTATCTGTTGGGTATGGAATAATCTCTGAAGGGAAGCAGAGCAATCCCACCACTTGGACATTTCAAACTAGATTGGACACAACACTAAAGGTACTGTAGGAAACAAACGTGTACTGGCAGAGAGTCGTGACTTACAAGGTCTTTCTTCTCTGCTTCCTGTGGTTCTATGAAATCTCTCTCAATAAAATCCCTCATGAACGCTAATGAAGCAGCTGCAGATAGTTTCATTTCTATTTCTAACAATACAGTGTGAAGTTTGCCTATTTAGTGACCTTTTCCAATGGGACTGAAGTAGGTAGAACTATCATTTCCTTTGCTGGCTGGAGTATGCTGTCTAGGCTATACACAATTTTGCCGATGAAAAACCACTTGTGATAATGAAGGTAATTGTGATAAT